TCACGCTGGGGCAACCATTCCATTTACGATGCCTTTCGACGGTAAATTGGTACTGACATATGTCAGGGAATCAAATCCACCATCAACTTGCTTGTAAGCAACCCACAAAAGAGGTAGCTATCGACAGCTTTGGTTGATTTTGCTACTCTGACTGCCTCCGTTTTCATGAGGGGCGTTGACTGACGTTGACTTGACGTTTCGATGTTAACTTTTTAACATGCATATTTATTAATATCTTGCAGGTTTATCAAATTGGGCGCTTGAATATGTGACTGTAAGTCTGTTCACGATGGGTAAATCAAGCAGTATCCTCTTTATTGTTGTATTCGCGCTTGCATTACATTTGGAACGATGGCGGCCAACGCTGGCCATATCAGCTACGCTCATTGCATTCGGTTTGCTTCTTTTCACTTGGAGGTTTGCGTTACTCTTATTTTTTGGAATTATTTTATTGATAGCATAACTGTCAAAAATTTGAGGTCACAAGAAAAACCGGTGGATGAGGCTAATTTTTGGTTCCCTATGCGATTTGCCGAAAAAAAAGGGAGAAAAAAGCGGGCAGGCACTTTTTTTTCGGCTTTTCTTCGGCTATTCTTGGTTTTTTATGGTCCGGGTATGCCCCATTGGAGACAAACAAAGTGAAATAGCCTTCCATCTTTATCACTGCTGAGATGTAACCCGATAAGAGGCGCAATTATGCCAGTTTTTTGTGTCCTAGGCTTTTTTGCTTCAATTTTCTTGCATCATGGACAGCAGGCAAATATTTCCATATTCCCATTTCCCATTTTTACTTCGCTTTTTCCCTTCATTTTCTCTTACCTCGATAAACCGTCATTTTCTCTTTATCCTTTAATATGTGGCACTTCACCTGAAGTCACCCGAATTAGCACTTATTGATTTTCGCGAGACGAATTACCAAACTTGCATTTGCGATTTTTGTAATTTTAAATACTCCAAGTCCTCATAATGCTGGTATTTCAGGTCTTCGCAGTTTGAACTGCATGGCTTGTTGTTAATTGAGTTAGCTGCGGCATGCACGGGATTGCGCTGGACTATTTCGCAAATTGTGATGCAGGGCGAAGAGAAACAACTCCGACATCCGCTTGATATGGTAGTGCATGTGCAACCGTGGATGTTCGTCGCTATCCTTCCTCTTCTTTTTCTGTATGAAGGTAATTCTGTATTTTAAACCGCACGCCCTTCTGGAGCTTCTCGGCCCAGCAACACTTCTTAGGACTTTTCTCAGGAAAAAGACAATGACTTTTTTATGCGGATTTTTGCCGTGCAACTACAGTGAGCAAAAACGTACACTGTTGAGAGGCTTGCAGTGTGTGTGTGTGTGTATGTATGTATGTATGTATGTATGTGTGTGTGGTGTATGTGTGTTGTGGGCGAGTGAACTTTGCAATGGGGAAGGCTAGGAGGCTGAAATTTTGCAAGTATGTTTCTATCAAACATTCATCCTTACAATCTGAAATCACAGCTCACACACGCCTGGATTTCATTTACGTGCGTTGAAAGAAATATGCAAATTCTTTGGAGAGAAAACGACTTCGGGAACCAGACAAGCTTGAAGGATGAAATTTTACGCTAATGCTCCTTTGTTTTCGGGTGCGCGCCACACACCAATCACGTCAGACTTCGCAACTAGCACTGCATCAACTTGAAAACTAGCCGGAAAGCAGCAGTTGAGAATTTGTCAGAGTGTTTACCATTCGTCCCAAGAAATCGTGCATCAAAAACTAGTT